TAAGTTTTAAATATGTTTAAACATATGTAATCACATGACAATGCCTTGGAAACATAAAATCCATTTATTTTGAAAATCACCCATATTATTCTTGATAATTAACAAGAGAATGTTAATTAGGCCTGATAGATACTTCAAATAGTAAAAAATAATTCGTGATGAAGTAAATAATATATCTCAGGTGAACAGTAAATTATTATATAAATAATTATTGTGACAAGGCCACAAATAACGTTAAAATTTTGTGTTATCTTAATTTTTCTGTTATCATTGGCTACAAATAAGACCCTCTAATAAATCATATTTCAATACCTTTACTCCTGATAATTTTAGATATCAGGAATTTCCATGTCAAATGAGCGAGATAAATAACTAGAGATCCCAAGGAACAGTAGTTTTTACAAAAGAAACATGGTTCTGGAAGAATTCAACAGCTTCCTGAAGTGATGAAAATTGAGCAATTGTTTGACTGCGTTGTGAGAGGGGTTTTTGTCACAATGAAAAATAATGCGACATTTCCAGCAAATTTTACCTAATTCAACGTTAAATGTTCTTCAAACCTCTAAAACAATGGTTCGAATATGTCCAGTGAAGCCAAAAAACAATCATTACAATCATTTTGTTGTAAGTGCTCCGTTAACGGACTTTTGTGGGATGTGGTTCATCTCAAAATACCCATAAAATGGATTGTTGCTTGAATTCCAGTTCTTACAAAATGTCCTAGTTTCGTCAAATATAGTGTATGGATTTTGCTGTTCCCAAGTTGCGTTTTTTGAGCATTTCTACAGACCAATACACGTGAACTTTTTTCTGCCAAATGATGCGGAACCCATCTGAAGCTTTTTCACATATGAAAGTACATACAAAACTTAATGTATTGTAGTTTTTGTTCCTAACTTTGTGTTTGTGTTTCTAACTATGAATTTTAATTCTAATATAGGTAAGTAGCTGTTTACGAAGAGACAACACAAAAAATATGACCTTGACTTTCAAAGTGAATTCCTTGTAAAATAAAACCAATGTATTTGCAACGTTTCTTCATCACGCCTGTTACAGCGGTTTATGCAGCTACTTGAAATTATTTTCAAAGACATTTCATTGAAACCAATCTCTTTCGGTCTCAAATTGGGCTCAGGGTTTTTTCATCAGCACTGTTTTGATTTCATAGACTCATTTGGAAATATTAATTAGAATAATGCATGTTGTTCAAATATTTTATATTATTTGTGTTTTGTTGGCACCAAGATTAAGTAAATGGGAATGACACATCTGGAATATCTATTAGTGTGAATAAAACACACATCTATTGTCTTTTACATAATTATAAAGAAGAATTTGAGTTGTTATTTAACTTTCCAAAATAAGGCAGGGACAACTCCAGAAGTTAATCTGTTTGAATTTCCATAAAAGGAACAGGCTACTTTACTCTACTAGTTTTATCTAAGTGAAATATTTTTTCCAATCAATCAATCAATATGCTTTATTGTCGGAAGATTAGTATCTTATTGACAAAGTCTTGTAAAAAATCAAATGAATGTCATAAAATATAAAAAATACAATACAAGACATAAAATATAAAAAATACAAACATAGCAATTTCACAAATAAAACATTAAGAAGACAGATGAGTTTAGGTGAACATTATAGGTTATCATGGTAGAATTCATGGATCAAATAATAAGCTTTTTTGGCCCCAGAAAGCTATTCCATAGCGAATATGAGATTCGATCAGTGCAAAGTAAGCCATTCTAGCTGTAGTGTACCCTAATTCATTTGATATCACTCTAATAGCATAACATCCACTAGATACTTTTTTACTCAGATGGGATACATGTTCTTTAAAATTTAATTTATTGTCTATGTGAATGCCTAGGAATTTAGTGTGCTGTTTGTTTTCTATGTAGATTGTATGTAATGATCTTAAATTTTTTCCTGAATTTTTTATACCAGTTGTAATCCATTGTTTCTTTTTTTTTATTTTCAGTTTATGCACAGGAAAAGATCTTTCAAAAATTTCTATCATAGTATTATGAAAGACAAGTAATGGTTCTTCATCATCTAGCATACTAATCCAGTTGATTATTTCACAACATTCTCTGAATTTACTGTAGTTCTTTCTGCTATAAATTCTACCAAATCTATGATCACAAGAGCGTTTGATTTTCATAAGTATTTTCACACGTAAAGCCTCATGGTCTGAAAAACCGAAGGAAATAACCGAACAGAGAACATTTGCTTCATCTAAATTTGAGCAGTCATAATCAATAGTAGTGGATGAATGTTACAAAATTCTGGTAGGCTCCGTTACATGCATTTTTATACTAAATGATAAAAATAGATTAGTCAAAGCTAATGTCACTGCTGATTCCCTATCTTCAAAGTTGATATTCAGGTCACCAGCTACAAAGATATGTGCGTGAATGGGCATTTCAGACAGGAGAGTTTCTAGTCGATCTATGAAAATGGGCCCGTTTGAGTTAGGTGGCCTATAAATTCCTATGATATACAAATGGTTCGTTTTATTGTATACCATAGAGAATTCAAACTCATTTTCCACTAACATTCTGTTACATTGATCAACATTAGCGAAGTCATTGAAATTGTTATTTTTTAGTACAATCATCGTACCTCCATGCCCCATATTGGGCCGACAGTATTTAGATAAAATGGAGTAATTCGGAATGTATAGAGTTTCTTCAATTTTTAACCAATGGTCTGATAAGACTAAAATATCTGGCATTTTTTTGTCCACTAGGAGAACAGAGAGTTCGTCAACTTCATTTTGTAATGACTGAATATTTAGTACAAGCATGGTTATGCCATTTAATTGATTATCACTTAGTAGTTTATTTTCAATGTCATTTTGAACATTTGAATGGATGGTCCTAGAGGTCGCTGAGTCACATTCAATTGATGAATTTTTTAGATTAACTAAGTCTGATTTCCTTCCATGTGATTTGACTGAAAAAAGAGTTTGTCGGTAGGTTTTGGTGTTCTATTATTTTCGCTATTTGAAATATCAGATGTATTTAAGGTGCATTCCTTAAGTTTAAGCGATAACATACTATCATTATCGGTTGTTTATACGGATTTAATTACTATGTGAATTAAATTAAATTAACATTGATCTTCTCTTACCTTGGTAAGCTCAGATGATGACACCCAAATAACGTCAACCAAAATAAGAACTAAAGCTCCCAAAACGAGTCTCTGAGTCTTGGTTAACATAGACCCAAATCCACTTTCCATAATACTAAGCAAAACGAGCCTATCGAGGCTTTTTCATTCCCAAACATAGTACTAATGGTTAATATGGAAAGATACTTCACAGTGGTAGGCGGTGCATATCGTCAATAGCACTGATAGTCTATCAGTTCTTTAAATTCGCTCCCCGAAGTATAAATAAACAGCGCAATCAATTTTATAATGTATTTCAAGTATTTTTTGATGAAATCTTTATGTGATCATTTTCACTATGTGGTTTTTAGAACTATTCACTTAATACCCGCAACGAATACCGGAATCATCTAATCCGAAAACAATTAAAGCTAAAAATTTAAACTAAAATTGGAAAAATTCCACATTTGACATTATTCCAAATGTCAACAAATGCCGATATTGTGAGTTGTGACAAATCACTTGTCACCATCGTTGCCAATGAAAAATTATCAGTTTCAAATTTCAAATTCCCCAATACAATTTGAAATTCCCAGATCCTTTCTCCCTGTATGCGTGACAGCAATTTGAACCGGAAGAGATGGTAACACTGAGGTTGATGAAGTCATTTTTAATATCGGGGTAATTATTACAATGTGTTAAAACAACAATAAAAATAAAATAAATACAACAATAAAAATTAATTGGCGCTCCGGGGCGACTTCATTGATTCCAGTGCGGACGTAACTAGTTTCCCTCATCTTAACTTTAGAACGGGGCAAGATATCAAAGGATAGAAAGTAATCATTTTTACTACTTTACAAATTTACAAAACCGGTTGAGAAGTTGATTGTTGAAGGTGTATGAACTGGAGACTAGGAAAAATGATAATTCGTAATTTCTCAACTAAAAGAAAAATAACACAGTTCCAAAGTCATTATTTGTCACAGGTTGAATCAAAGAATTTGTCAAAAAGCGGATATTAAAGAATCTCTCTCTCTTTCTAGGTTCTCTTGACTATTGCTTCCGTGCGGCGCATTTAGCCAGCTCTATTCTATTGAAGAATCTACACCGTTTAATGTGTATGTTTGACAGCTGTCACTATTGATACTGAGAATTTTCAAAAATGGTTCGTTCCAGATTTTCAGGGGAAGAAACAAAAGCAATCCTTATCCACGCCAAGGTCGGCCGTAATTTTTATGAGGCAGAAAGGGCGTTAAATGTAAGATTCCCTGATAATTCGATCTGCCAAAAATATCTTTGGAAATTGATTGAGAAACTTCAAACAACTGGAAGTGTAGCCAGAGCTAGAGGAGTTGAAAGAGAATCTCGGACGAGAAACAGATAGAAATCGTCGTCGGCAATCCACGACAAAAGACGACATGTTCGAACATTTGATTACAGATCGAAAGTGCATAAAAATATTCGCACGAAGGCGCTGTAGAGCCACCATAGCATTTTCATTTTGTAATCGACAGTTCCAACTATCGGTTATCTATAATAGACAGTTCCAATTATTGGTTATGTATAATAGACAGTTTAAACTATCGATTAGCCATAATCGAAATGACTACGAAGTACTGTACTCTGAGTACTTTACTCGGTACTCTGTATTCGTTCCTCAAATATAAATAGTACCTGGTACCCAGTACTCAGGTAGATTTCATCAGTATCAGCTCTGGAAATAATAGTATACCTACACTATTTTCAAAATATTGGAGAAAAATAAAAATGACCATTTAACATGCTGTCGTCATTAAAAGAAAATGAAAATGATAAGAGGAATTTTTCTCTCTTCGATATGTTTTTTCAATTTGACGTCACCTATCCATAAATACGATATTTATTAACCAGATCTATTTATTGTTTCAATTTTGAAATCCTTCATCATGTATTGACGAATGAAAAGTCGTTCTATAACTCTCATCATTATCTGTTCCTAAAAAATCGTTACAAATTAAGTTCTCAACACAGTATGTTTTAAATATTTTTCTATTACATAGAATAGTTTAATTATTTACTTTGGTCAGAAGTCAATTTGAATTATTTGTTCTTGATGAAACCGGGCAATGTATAATTCGGAAGACTAAAGTCTGGTGAATGCATTGGCCACTGCAAGATATCATATTTTCCTATCCATTTCCTGCCTCTTTGAAAAGTTTTGTATATGTTCTATATTCGAGTGAGAATATGTATAGCTCAAATTACTTTCAAAATAATTCATGTTGCCCATAATTTATGTCAGAAGTATCAATTATTCCAGGAATTTATCTTGATGTTTCCCTTCTATTTTCATTTCATAACGGTCTTAGCCT